TTTGTGCTGGGAGTAGAGATGCAAAATTTCTGGAAATTTTGAAGCCATAGGAAAAAACATTTTTTGCCTGTTTTTTTCCAGAAAAAATGGAAAAACAAATTTAATGTGGAGTAGTTTTTCAAATTGAAAGTTGTTTTGTTACAATGGGAAGGTAATATGTAGTGTATATAAAAGTGTTATGCTTGAAATAAAACTACAGCTTACTCAGTAAATAAGCTAAACTTGCTTTTTACATTTTTTTTTTTTTTTGCAAATAGAATAACAAGGACTGTATATGTTAGGAACATTTTAACTGTACAGGATAACAGGTGACCACACCCCTTTCCTTCATAATAATTTTAAAAGCTTCCTGCCAATATGCATTTTCAGTTATTAACAATGCTGATCCAGAAGCATACTGTATATATTGCTCTATGAAGAGCTTGATCACTGTTCTCCTGATTTTCAGGTGTCATTTATCTATATAATCTATATATGGAGGGATTGTGTGTTTTTGGGAGGCAGCGGTTTCCTTACTTGAAGATTCTTCTTGTGAAGAAACACTTTGTGATGATCCAGAAGTAGCAGAAAGAGTGAGAACTCTGGAAGGAAAAGCTACTTGCACATTCATTATGGTCCTTATCATTTCATGTCATAAAGTATATGTTAATGTCTTTAGGGGACTTCTGGCATGCCAGGATGTGCTTTGTCATCCTTGTAGCATTTGGAAAAGAATATTTTTTCTCACATTATTTTCAAATTGGAGCTTTGCTCCCAGCAAAAATTGCACTTTGGAAACCCAAACTTTCCAAACACTAGATGTTGGTCTCACCATTTTACTGAGAAAAGGAAAAGAAAAACCAATTTACTGATCAGACTATAGATAAACATTATCCTATGATGGTGGCGAACATTAATAAGAATCATTTAAAGGTTATAAAAATAAACTAATTTGTCAAAAAAATTTACCCAATTACTTGTCAATGAAGGCTTGAGAAGACAGAAACTATCATCTACTATATCCCAACAGTCACCCAACTGTAGGAGGTACAAGATGGAGACCACAAGCAAACTAAACTGGAGCCTTTTCCTTGCATATTGCTCTTGTCTGAGAACTGCATTGAGAAGTACAGTGTTACTTGAATTGTATTCCAGGATTTGCTTGTTTTCAGCTTGCAAAACTTGCAATAATTTAAGACTTTACATAAAGTCTCAGAAATCTTTCAATAAGGTTTTTATGTTATATAGCTTAAATGCCATGTCATAGATATATTATTTATTACTGTAAAAAAACATATTCCAGACTTCTTTCTTTTTTTTCCCAATTTTTCTGAAAAAAAAAACCAATCAACTTTGAAAAAAAAACTGTTCTTTCCCAAATTTCCAGGCCTTCCCATCTCTAGCTGGGGGTGGAGGATTTACTGTATGCTGCAATTAGTGATCCAGGGGAGGGATAAGAGGATCTATGTGGGTAGAAGAGGATTTGTACTAGAAGGGGAATGTAGGGTGGAGGATTTGTGTTGGGAAGGGAAGAGGATTTTTATTGGGAGGAGGGATTGAGTGGTGGAGTAGTATTTTGTTGTGAGGGGAGGGAAGAGGATTTATTCTGGGGAGGGGGATTTGATGAGGATGTGTGCTGGGTAGAGTGGGCATTCAGCTTAGCTTAGTGCTGGACTTTTTTGGAGGGGGGACTGAGGATTTTTGCTGAAAGGGTAAAATGCAGGAGAGTATTGCTTGAAATTGCTTGAATTCTTCTGACACTTACACCATGTGTTACACACTCCTGCAATCTTTTCTATCTTTTCTGATCCCTACTATGATTTACACACTCGTGCTCCCTGCATTCTGTGGGGTACTGCTGAATCCTGATCTCTCTGTGTCCCCAGTTGCAGAATACCTGAAAAGGTCCTGTGGCTCCTGAAGGAAGAATAGGGACAGGACAAAGATGTCCTTCAAACAGGAAAGTGCCAGTGGAGCCAAATTATGCCCTTGCATCATCTCTCTGAAGATTTGTAACACCTCTATATTGCTTCTGCCAATTTTGTTCAGTAAGAGACTGGAAAATGCTTTGGACTGGTGCAGGGGCGGACTGACATCTCATGGGGCCCCCGGGCAATAGGGGATCATGGGGCCCCTGTGTCCTTGCCCAAACTCAAAAAAGCCTATGAAAAAGGTACCAGGGGCATCTCATGGGGCCCCCTACTGACAACGGGCCCTCGGGCAGTGCCCTGAGTTTAAAATGGTAAGTCCGCCCCTGGACTGGTGTCTCCTTTTCTCTAGGCCTATCCATCAACCTGGTTCTGCTGGGAGGATATTGGTCCAGCAAGGTATGTGACATTAACTGTTCAAGGAGTTAATATGCTTCCTATGGAAGCGGGGATCCACACAGATGAGGGGACCTGAGCTTTGGTTGGACTGTGGTGACCAGTGAGTTCCTGATGTGTCTATGTTGGAATGCATCTGCTTTTCAAGTCCCCAAATAAGTGAAGTCCAGGGGCGGACTGACAACTCATGGGGCCCCCGGGCAATAGGGGATCATGGGGCCCCTGTGTCCTCGCCCACACTCAAACCACACCCACAAAAACCTATGAAAGGTACCAGGGACATCTCATGGGGCCCCTACTGACCCCGAGCCCTCAAGTAGAGCCAGAGTTCCCCAATAGTCAATCTGCCCCTGGTGAAGTCTTTCTTTAAGGTAGGCACAAAATCATAGGCAGGTGGCAGAATACAATAGCAGGCAGTGGAGATATCTCCATCCATGTTGTTTAGCGTTCATATGGTAATCTATGGATGTCTCTAGTTCAACCCAGAATGGAAATCTTTACGTATATGGCCAGTTTAAGTCTGTATATGACCACTAGATTACACATAATCTCTAAACATGAATCTTATCTATTTGTTACCTGTTGACTAATAGCCAAAGGAGATTCCATACTGCTTTCACATTGTCAGAATTATTTTACCTTGCATGCATTTCACAACTCCATGCTCATTAGACCCTTAGACCTTACAATGCACAAGTCTGTGAACCAGAAGCATAAAACACTTACTGAATGGAAAATCTATACTGCATTGGGTCATAAACATAAATTAAATTACTATAGTGCTCATTGCTACTGTTTTAATAGCTTGCTTTATTTACTCAGGAAAACAATGCCTTATAAATCAGTAGCTATACAATTGCTTTAAAGCCTCACTAAACATCTTAATGAGGTCTGAGACCATAGTCAGTTCCATGCAAGGCTACAGGACTTGCAGTACTCACATTTTGTCTGCAGATGGCAACATACAGTTGTGTCCAAAATTATTCAACCCCCACTGAAATTGAGTGTTTTGGCCAGTTTGACATTGCTTTTGATCATTCAGTCATCTTGCTTACATTTACATTAAAGAGGCACTTGTAGGTCAGACAAATATAACATAACAGTTATAATGAAATAACCACAAATGTCTTTTCTGTGCTCACAGCATTATCAGTTTTATTCAACCCCCAAGTGACATTCAATCTTAGTACTTAGTACAGCATCCTTTTACAGTTATAACAGCTTTTAAACGTGAAGCATAGCTTGACACAAGTGTCTTGCAGCGATCTACGGGTAATTCTTCATGGGCAAAGGCCTCCAGTTCAGTCACATTCTTAGGCTTGCGCACTGCAACTGCTTTCTTTAAGTCCCACCAGAGGTTCTCAATCGGATTTAAGTCTGGTGACTGCGATGGCCACTCCAAAATGTTCCAGCCTTTCCTCTGCAACCATGCTCTAGTGGACTTGGAGGTATGCTTGGGATCATTGTCCTGTTGAAAGGTCCAACGTCTCCCAAGCCTCAGGTGTGTGGACGGACTGCATCACGTTTCCATCCAATATCTCCTGGTACTGAAGAGAATTCATGGTACCTTGCACACGCTGAAGCTTCCCTGTACCTGCAGAAGCAAAACAGCCCCAAAGCATGATTGACCCTCCACCATGCTTCACAGTAGGCAAGGTGTTCTTTTCATCATAGGCCTTGTTCTTCCTCCTCCAAACATAGCGTTGATCCATGGGCCCAAACAGTTCTAATTTTGTTTCATCAGTCCACAGAACACTATCCCACAACTTTTGTGGTTTGTCCACATGGCTTTTGGCATACTGCAGTCGACTCTTCTTATTCTTTGGAGACTAAGCGCCTGGGAGTTTCTGGCACGGAGGCCTTCATTACGCAGTGTGCGTCTTATTGTCTGGGCTGAAACTTCTGTACCCACATCTGACAAATCTTTTCTCAGTTCCTCAGCAGTCACACGGGGACTTCTCTCCACTCTACGCTTCAGGTAGCGCACAGCAGTCGAAGTCAGCATCTTCTTTCTGCCACGACCAGGTAGCGTTTCAACAGTGCCCTTTGCCTTGAATTTGCGAATGATGCTTCCTAAGGTGTCTCTTGGTATGTTTAACATCTTTGCAATCTTCTTATAGCCATTGCCCTTCCTGTGAAGAGAAATCACCTCTTCTCTTGTCTTCCTGGACCATTCTCTTGCCTTCACCATGTTTGTAACCACACCAGTAAATGTCTAGAAGGAGCTGAGTATCACAGTCATTTTAAAGCTGCCTAATTGGTGCTTATTATGCTTGATTGCTGCTCGGTGACATCCACAGGTGTTTTCAATACCTGATGGAAAGCACCTGTATGAACCTCTGTTCTTCAGAGTGGTAGTCTTTAAGGGGTTGAATAATTGTGGCAATGAAGAAACCACATAAGAACCATTTACTACTGTATTACATAAACAATTGATGTCATTTTAGTTGCATTTGGGTAGTTACAACGTCCTTGTAGGATTTGATTCTGAATACAATTCCAAATGTACACTATAGTCCCTAAACCCCTTTACAGCATTGGGGGTTGAATAATTTTGGACAAACTGTATAACCATTGTGAATAAAAAAATATAAAGCAAAAAGCTGACTTTTTTTAACTCTTCATTGGAAAGGGGCTGAATTCAGTGGTGTATTTAGGTTTTGTGCTGCCCTAGGCATCACAAAAATTAGATGCCCCCCTCCCTGGTGAAGAGAGCCTTACACCGACCAACACCAGACCCCCCCCCCCCCCCCCCCTCCCCATGGAGAGAGCCTGACAGTGACCAACACCAGTGACACCAGACCCCCACTGGCGACAGAGAGAAAGACACTCACCTTCACAGCTCTGGATATCCACAGAAATGACAGTAGGGCTCTGCATACATCATCAAGCAGCCCGCAGCCTCTCTCGGATCCCACCCGGTCCCCATGCTGCATATGTCCCTTCTTCTGGGGGGCAATACCGCCCCCTAAAAAATGCCGCCCTAGGCAAATGCCTTGTTTACCTTGTGGTAAATACACCCCTGTCTGAATTGTTTCCATGATTGTTTTTCGTTTAAAAGTGTGACGTCTGGAAGTAAACGGGTTAACTAAAGCCATGGTACTTTCCACGTAGGCAATGTGCTCCTATCAGCCTTTGTTACTGTGTTATCTCTTAGTAATCTGCTTACTATGTCTTTTGAAGTCTCTTCCTCTTGCAATGGAAAAAAAATATTCAATAGAGTGCATTCATGAAGTCAACAGTTAATGTAGTGGTTAGTTTTGTTACCAATATAAGGCTTCATAAAAAGTGGTGTATTAAAATACTACTATGTACTGTGGATCTTTCTACAAGGAGCTGGCAGAGAAATCAAGCTTAACAAATGCTCATGATTACACGCCTTTATTGGTGTTTACAGGTGTATGGGGTTTCCAAGCTTATACTCATAAACTCATTGTATATATGCATTTATTCTAGCCACTAGAATTCATTTACATGCGTTTACACACGGTTTATGCATGTATGTGTGTAAATTATGCCAGAAAGCATCTCTCCAAATGCAGGTTTAGAACATTTTTTTAATGCCCCTAAACACTACTCTAAACTACAAATCTGAACACTGCAATGAGCATGGATGCATTGGAGCATGGAGACATCATTACAGCCAACTAATTAGTTACTAGAGGTTACTGCACATCATTATTGGTTGATAGAGATTATAGCATATCGCTACTGTTCACTGATTGGTTACTATTGATTACTGTGCATCATTACCACTCACTTATTGATTGCTAGAGGTTACAGCACATCATTACAGCTTACTGATTGGTTGCTAGAGGTTACAACACTTAATTATGTCTCACTGACTGGTTGCTGAAGATTACAACACAACATCTCCTCACTGCCTGCACACCATGGACTGAGAAGGTGAAGGGACCCACCAATACTTACCACCTATGTAAAGGGAAATTTGCACTGACCACCAATGTAATGAAGAATTTACACTGACAACCATGTAATGGGGGATTTTTTATACCAACAACCAATAAATAAATTCTCTGGCCAACAATGTCGGGGGGAATTTACACTGACCATCAGTTTAAGGGGGGCTTCTACGTGGACCATCATTATTAGGGAGGATTCAACACTGACCACAAATGCAAGTTAGGATGTTTTGCCTACTACCGATATAATTCACACTGACCACTAGTATGAAAGGATTATACACCAAGCCCCAATGTAATGAGAAGATATACACTGACCACCAATGTAATTGAAACATTTATCCTATGTTCACATTTGTGTGTCTCAGGAACACATGCAAAATCACTTTCCTGACATCACAGAAATGTGCTGCCCTTTAGCAGATACACAGCAGTGCCATTAACTGTTAATGACACCATCACGCATTTGCTGATGTCCGTTCACAAGCACCAAAAATCATGGTGCTATGGCACTGCAAGGCTCGGTGCAATTTTGAAAAAAAGGTCAGGGACTTTTTTTTACGCATTTCTAGTGCATAGAGCAGCCCAATGAAATGAATGGGCTGCCTTACAGGTGACATACATATTTATCCACCCCATCAGTACACCTTTGCATCTTGCAAACATGCCCCTGTTTACCTCCCCAATGGGCGTAATATACATATGAATGCTGCCACTATTTACATATGAATGCCACATTGTCTCTGCTATTTACATATGCATGCCACATTGCCACCACTATTTAGATCTGAATGCCGGTTATTTACATGTGAATGTTGACACAGTTTGCACAGGTGAATCATCTGTACCTGGCAAAAAGGCAGAGCTGGGCAGCATAAGTGACAGCACTTCACACTGAGATATCGGGACACAGGACTGGACAAGGGAATGTAGACAGTTGGCAAGTATAGAGCAGCTGCTTTGGACCCCCACAAAAATGACTGGGCCCAGTGCAGCTTTCCCTTTTGCCCCATTTTAAAGACAGCCCTGGATGACTATAGTCTGTTCCTTGGAATAATATGCTGGAGTAAGCAAAGAGAATAGTGCCCCTGAATCATACTTGGTGGTGGACTGGTGAAAATACCCCTGGGTGGTCCCACACTGATATACCTTTACCCAGCATCATACATTTTTTAATATATTTTCATTTTTCATTAAAAACTATTCACAGTTGACTTTTTGTACATTTTTTTTTTCTTGTAAGACCATCACTGCCCTGGTCAAGCAACGATGGACAGGGACAGCAGGGTCCTAAATACAAAATGGACTACAGGGTGTTGAGGATGTACCACTAGTTGAAGGTGGCCCAACATGCACTCAAAATGTTCTGCACTGCTGCAAGTGTCATGTCAGAGAGGACCTCAGTGCAGCAGGAGAATTTGTGACTGCAAAGCTGACTTTTCTAATGAATCAGGTCTGGATGACAGAGCACTACCAACTGCATTTGGAAATGACAAACAATACATTATTTTAAAATAATTTAACTAAGTGTAAACTAAAAAAACTTTTCCTTGCTTGCCCTGTCCCTTAACTATGTACCATATCGAGAATTTTTGACAGTACAGGTACCCTGCAGACAGCTATGCTGATTGCATCTTGGATGCATTTTTACACTTTTATACTCAAGGCCAGATCTAGGGGGGTGTTGGGGAGGGCTGTGCCCCCCCCCCAAAAAAAAAATCTCTGAGAGTGAGTGTATCCACTGATCCATGAGCCAATCTTCAGACAGTTGATGTACGTAGGCACTCTGATGGGGAAAATTCATGTAAGGGGGCATTTTGATTGGGACACCTGCTGTAAGGGGGCACTGTGATGGGGACACCCAATATAAGGGGACACTTTGATAAGGACACCTGCTGTTATTAGGGGCATTCAGATGGAGATAACTGATCATATGTAGGGGGCACCTTTATGAGGACAGTTGATGTAAGGAGGAGCTCTGTTAGGGACACTGATATAAGACGTCGTTCTGATGTGAACACCTGATGTAAGGGAGCACTCTGATCTGAACCTTATGTAAAGGGGGACTTTTATGAGTAGTCATGATGTAAAAAGGACATCTGATATAAGCTGGCACTGTTTTTTTTTTATTTACCCTAATCTAATGACAGCCTAATACACATTAATGTTTCCCAGGTCATGACAATGTGTGACAGACTGTCAGTGACTCACACACAAAGTGTTGACATTATGCCCCCTGTTTTTTTTTTTACTGCACCCCTAGATCAGATAGGCTAGATCAAAATCTGGTTTATACTGACCTGTATACTTTCTGAGTCCAATAAGAATCAACTGCTATTTTATAATACTGTCAGGGAGCGAGGAGCCAGACACACAAGGAGGTGCAATTAAAGGTACCTTCGTAGACTCTTTACTATCCTACAATTTCCAAACACTTCACCAATCCCTAGAGCCCTGATAGCCTTAGATATGCACAAGGCATTTGATTCTATAAAATGGCTGTATTTGTTCCAAGTCCTGCAAGCATTTGGCTTCGGTGAGGATTTTATCTCATGGATACAGATTCTCTACATACAACCTCAGGCTGAGCTACAGTACATGTCAATGGCTGCATTTCTTCCTCCTTTCTTTTCCAGAGGAGCACTAGACAAGGGTGTCCTCTTTTGCCCCTTCTGTTTGCCCTAGCCTTTAAACCTTGAAAGCTTCTTCACATATCTCCTTTAATAAGTGTTTGGTCCACTGGAGGAACAAGTCTCGCTTTATGTGGAAGATATGCTGGTGTACCTTTCAGACCCCCAACATACTATACCTGAAGTATTACACATTATACAAGCTTTTGGTCAATATTCTTTGTTTAAGGTCAACTAAACAAATTTACTGGCATTCCAAATGGATCCTGAGCTGTCTTTTACCTTACCACTTGATTGTCCACTGCAGATCTTACATAAATTTAGATATCTGGGTATTGACATCCAATTACCGTTGTCTAAAGTACCGCTACCCTCGTCAGGGCCTTTGGATATTGCTTGTCTTCTTGTGCTACCCTGACCCTACCTTCTGACACTCTAGGTTCCGACATGATTTATACCCCTTTAAATAAACAACAGACACAATGTAAGTTGAATGCAGCAAACTTCTGTATTAACCAAAGCAAAAATTGATTTAAAGGTGTCAGACAGCCAAATCAAGCAGTCCCGAGATGCACACATCCCGAGCAGTGTGTGGCCGAGCTGACAGGGAGGAAGACTGTTTGTAAACAAAACAGTCTTCTTTCCTTTCGGTGATTGTCAGTAATCACCAAGTGGCGGCGGGTAATTACCGCTCATGCGCACCCCCCCCTACCCGGAAATGCAGAGTCACATATATATATGTGATTTTGCGCACAGGTGGCGCCCTGTAGCAGTATTTCTGTTATAGGGTGGTCCTTAAGCAGCTAGGAAAGACTCAGGAGTCCAGTTATGGCTGAACACAAGACTAAAAGTCCCAGTGTCCTTTGTTACTGGGTTCAGGAATATGAGGCAAGCAGTCTGAGTGCAACACTAGATGGAGAACTGGAACAATCTGCAGCAATGAAGGAAATGTCCACTGCATTCATATTATTGTAACTGGCACCTTGCTACACTAAATTCTATGATAACAACTTGTTACCCTGTATATCCTCATTTTGAACTAAAACGACTCATGTGAGAAGTACATTTATTTAAAATGGTTTTCCTTCCAAAATTCTCATACTGTATATCCTAGCTAACTCACTGGTCTGTGTCCCCAAAAAGGGAACATTGATTTCTTTCTTTCTACTTTTCTTTGGCATCCTAAAGCTGCCTCTCTGAGCCACTGAGGCTGCCAATGTTTTTTCATATGAAATATTGGCTAATCTTCTATACAGGTGCACTGTCCCTACTGCAGTGGGGGCTGCTATGTTGAAAACCTTGTTGAGGATATATAACCAGCATCTGCCTCTACTTTCTGACACAACCAAATCATCCTTGCCTAACCAATACCTTTGGCTAAACCTTCGATTTCTTTCTTTCTTTCTTTTTCTTTCTTTCTTTCTTTCTTTCTTTCTTTCTTTCTTTCTTTCTTTCTTTTCTTTCTTTCTTTTTCTTTTT